TGCTAACAAGAATGTGGTCAATCTCCTCGGTGACAATACCGGTACTGCTATATCATATCTTTGCTTTTAACTTGAATACAGAGAGAGAGAAAGTGTTTGGTGAAAATTTATGGCGAGGCCAACACGCCATGACCCACCAGCCAATGTTTCTTTTTCTCACATATTTTTTTGGCTTTGATACAATGAAAATAACCAAAGGATATCATTCCAATTGTGCCAAGGAATAAATTGCGAAAAGAACAACAGATCAAAGTAGAATGTAGGAACGGAAAATCATGAAAGAAGGGAAGGATTGATGACTTATTCGTCCAAGTAAGTAACAGGGAGTATAGGGGTGACTGTTTCGATCCCGTCACACTTTTATAATATCTATCTTTATGATAATTATTAATTTATAATTAACAGGCTAAGGGAGGGTGTAAAGTTAAACTTAACCTTAGACTGGAATGAAGTTAGTTGAAGATAATATTCCTTGATTATCGTATAATGTTCATTACTAATATTTACAATGTGATATGTCACCTGTATACTGTTATATGATTAAAGAATAAAATAAATTGGGTAAAACCGTTTCTAGGACTCAGCAGGAATGAATTCAAGCTACCCCAAGCCTTATTAGGACCATTGCCATGCTACTTATATTAAGATTAGATAAGTCAAAATTGTTTTTTTTTCCGGGTTTCCTTATAGCCCCAAACCCTGAGTGATGGTGGCGATACCGAAGTAACATTGTCATCATTTGTATTAAAATTGATATCGACAAATGAGCAGCAGTAATTTTGTAAGAATATAATTTTCTTTTGTGTATGATAAAGTAAACCCAACTATCCACCGGAACTCGCCACAGCGGTGGGATTTTTAAAAGGTTTTCACATATGCACACACACACGTTTTTTTCTGTTCAGAGAGAGAAAGGGGAATCATAAATAATCACCGAGTTTCTTTTCATGTTATCATTAACTTCCTCTCTCATTCGATATTATTTATCTACTCCTCTGCCACTATGTAACGTGACTACAGGATTCCTTCACAGAGAGAGCCTTTGTGTATATTCTAATCCTTATATAGAGCAATTAAGAAAAAAAAAAACACCAACAACAACAACAATTTCAGGAACGTTGGTGTGTCATTCTTACAGTTTCTAACATGGTTCTTTTGCAGATGATTTCAGATAATGTCTAGGATGCAAATTCATTATATTCATTACATTGGAAGCATTTCCCCATTTCTGACGCGCGTGCATTAGTTTGTGTGCGTGCGTGTGAGTGAGTGAGTGAGTGAGTGAGTGAGTGAGTGTGTATGTGTACGTGTGTGCGTGTGTGTGTGTGTGTGTGTGTGTGCGTGTGTGCGTGTGTGCGTGTGTGCGTTTGTGCGTGTGTGCGTGTGTGTGTGTGTGTGTGTGCGTGTGTGCGTGTGTGCGTGTGTGCGTTTGTGCGTGTGTGTGTGTGTGTGTGTGTGCGTGTGTGCGTGTGTGCGTTTGTGCGTGTGTGCGTGTGTGTGTGTGTGTGTGTGTGTGTGTGTGTGTGTGTGTGTGTGTGTGTGTGTGTGTGTGTGTGTGTGTGAGGGAGAGAAAAAAAACAGTGAGAGGGAGTGAGAGAGAGAGAGAGAGAGAGAGAGAGAGAGAGAGAGAGAGAGAGAGAGAGAAGCAGAGAGAGAGAGAGTAAGCAGAGACAGAGGGAAAAAATATATATTGATTGATAAACCAACAAATAGAATGGAAAAAGCTAGAGAGAGGGAGAAACAGGAAAAAATGAGGAGGAAGCAGGATGAACCCCCCCCCTTACACTAAAAAAAAAAAAAAAAAAAAAAAAAAAAAAAAAATCATCATCATCAGAACATCCAACCCGAGGTTTTCAGTCTCGCTGTCGAAACTTCAGTAAATCATGGAACCTAACGGGATGAGCACGACTGAAGCCGCCGGCCGGAGGGACCTCCACTCGCGCTGGTGGACGGCGGCCATCGTGGTGCAGCTGATCACCTGTTTCTTCGGTGTTGCTGGTTAGACTTGTGTTTTTTCTTTTTAATTCAGCTTTATGGTTCGTTTCTTTATTTAATATTATTTTTTTATTGAATTATTTTCTGCTTATTTAGTAGGAGGTAGAAAATAACAATAATGATATTAACAATAGTAACGATACTTGCTATTATCATTGGTATTATTACCTAATATACCTATTGATATCATTAGTGAGAATCTTATCCTAGTTCTGTTATCATTATTGTTATTATCGTTATTTTTGTTATTATTATCAGTGTTATTATTGTTATTATTATCAGTGTTATTATTGTTATTATTATCAGTGTTATTATTGTTATTATTATCAGTGTTATTATTGTTATTATTATCAGTGTTATTATTGTTATTATTATCAGTGTTATTATTGTTATTATTATCAGTGTTATTATTGTTATTATTATCAGTGTTATTATTGTTATTATTATCAGTGTTATTATTGTTATTATTATCAGTGTTATTATTGTTATTATTATCAGTGTTATTATTGTTATTATTATCAGTGTTATTATTGTTATTATTATCAGTGTTATTTTTGTTATTATTATCAGTGTTATTATTGTTATTATTATCAGTGTTATTATTGTTATTATTATCAGTGTTATTATTGTTATTATTATCAGTGTTATTATTGTTATTATTATCAGTGTTATCATTGTCTTTATTATTATTGTCATAATCTTCATTATTATTGTTTTTCTTATCATTGTTATTATTGCCATGATTATTATTTTCATAATCATCATTATTATTATTTCTCTTATCACTATTGTTGTTGACTCAAACAGGTAGGATGGAAGAAGGAGGAAAGGGGATAAGGAAGCGAAGATGGGGGGGGGGAGGTTAATGAGGAATAGGAAGGAAGTGAGAAGAGGCAAATGCAAAGCTTAAAGTGAGAGGGAAGGAGTGACTTTCAGACAGAGTGACAAGAGAGCAGGAAAGGGAAAAGTAAATGAAAAGGGAAAGAAAGAGGGAGAGGGAATGGAAAAGGGAGAGGGAAAGAAAGAGGAAAATGAAAAGCAAAGGGAGAGGGAAAGAAAGAGGGAGAGGGAAAGAAAGAGGAAAAGGAAAAGTAAAGGAAAAGGGAAAGAAAGAGGGAGAGGGAAAGAAAGAGGAAAATGAAAAGTAAAGGGAGAGGGAAAGAAAGAGGGAGAGGGAAAGAAGGAGGAAAATGAAAAGTAAAGGAAAAGGGAAAGAAAGAGGGAGAGGGAATGGAAAAGGGAGAGGGAAAGAAAGAGGAAAATGAAAAGTAAAGGAAAAGGGAAAGAAAGAGGGAGAGGGAAAGAAAGAGGAAAATGAAAAGTAAAGGAAAAGAGAAAGAAAGAGGGAGAGGGAAAGAAGGAGGAAAATGAAAAGTAAAGGAAAAGGGAAAGAAAGAGGGAGAGGGAATGGAAAAGGGAGAGGGAAAGAAAGAGGAAAATGAAAAGTAAAGGAAAAGGGAAAGAAAGAGGGAGAGGGAAAGAAAGAGGAAAATGAAAAGTAAAGGGAGAGGGAAAGAAAGAGAGAGAGGGAATGGAAAAGGGAGAGGGAAAGAAAGAGGAAAAGGAAAAGTAAAGGAAAAGGGAAAGAAAGAGGGAGAGGGAATGGAAAAGGGAGAGGGAAAGAAAGAGGAAAATGAAAAGTAAAGGGAAAGAAAGAGAGAGAGGGAATGGAAAAGGGAGAGGGAAAGAAAGAGGAAAATGAAAAGTAAAGGGAGAGGGAAAGAAAGAGGGAGAGGGAATGGAAAAGGGAGAGGGAAAGAAAGAGGAAAATGAAAAGTAAAGGAAAAGGGAAAGAAAGAGGGAGAGGGAATGGAAAAGGGAGAGGGAAAGAAAGAGGAAAATGAAAAGCAAAGGGAGAGGGAAAGAAAGAGGAAAATGAAAAGTAAAGGGAGAGGGAAAGAAAGAGAGAGAGGGAATGGAAAAGGGAGAGGGAAAGAAAGAGGAAAATGAAAAGTAAAGGAAAAGGGAAAGAAAGAGGGAGAGGGAAAGAAAGAGGAAAAGGAAAAGTAAAGGGAGAGGGAAAGAAAGAGAGAGAGGGAATGGAAAAGGGAGAGAGAAAGAAGGAGAGGGAATGGAAAAGGGAGAAGGAAAGAGTGAGGGAGAAGGAAAGAAAGAGGGAGAGGGAAAGAGAGAGGGAGAGGGAATGGAAAAAAGAGAGGGAGAGGGAATGGAAAAGGGAGAGGGAATGGAAAAGGGAGAGGGGAAGAAAGAGAGAGGGAGTGGAAAAGGGAGAGGGAAAGAAAGAAGATAGCGAATGGAGAAGGGAGAGGGAAAGAAAGAAGATAGCGAATGGAGAAGGGAGAGGGAAAGAAAATGGGAGAGGCAATGGAAAAGGGAGAGGGGAAGCGAAAGGAGGGTGAAAGAGAGAGAAACAAATACCGTTCTTTCGAGTTTTTTTCCACGGGTCCCGCTAGTCATTTTCGTCGTTATAATTTGTCTTTATAGTTATCATTATTTTTATTATCATAATTAATTATTTTTATTATCATAATTATTATCATCACCATCATCCTCGCCATTATTATTATCATATAATGATAATAAAAGTAGTAGTAATAATGATAATAATAATAACATCAAGAATAACAGTAATAATAATAATAATAAAAGATAATAAGAAAATAGTCATTATTATTATAATCATATGTCGTTTTTGTTATTACTATTGTTGTTGTTATTATCACTGTTATTTTCATTGCTATTTTTTGTTATCATTACCGTTTTTCTTCAACATAATATTCATTGTTATTATCATTATCACTAATAATGATTATTATCATTGTTATAATTACTGTTCTTATTGTTACTGTTGGCATTAATATCATCATCAATAGTATTGATAATATCATTATTAGTATTAATATTATTATTATAGTCGTCATTATCTTTACTACTGTTGATATTATTATAACTTTGTTATTATTATTGTTGTTATCATTACTATCATTATCATCATCATTATTATTGTCATTGTTGTTGTTGCTGTTACTATTATTACAGTTATCATTATTATCAATATTATTATTATATTATTGCTTCTCCTGACCCAGTCATGTCTATGTTTATATTCTTTCTAAGCTATTTTTCTGCATTTGCTGATGAAGTGATATATAGTTTCATTAACCTTACCTATATTCTGCATTTACTGTCCTGTTTTATCGATTTTGGCTTTGATGAAGTTCGTCCAATTGGCTTCCTCTTGAGCTGCTAGGATGAGTGTTTTTGTCTCCCTGTCAATGCCCTTACGTTTTAAACCACCTTTCCTTACCAATAATCTTCAGTTTGTCGAATAAACTAGCCATGCAGGACTTTCTCCTTCCAGCTTTCTTTGCATACTTTTGCTCTTCGACCTTTATATTCTTTCACCGTTTCTTTTACTTCCATGTCTGATCTTCTAGCTGCAGTCATTAATAGTCACTCGTTACCTCTCTAGCCCAAATTTTGATGCTTCTATCGTATCTTCAGCGCCGGTCTACATTGCCTTTAGGAATGAGTGCTTTGTGCTTCCCACTACGTCTTGAATTCTTGAATCTCTTGTTTCCTCCAGAAAGGGAGCAGAGTGTCTAACTACGGGAACAGCCTATGTATTAACTGCTATTTTTGTCTCCAGCACTTTCCTCCACGCTTATGTTTTTTGCTGACTTTTTTATCTCTGATATCTTTATAACATTCAACTCTTGGACACCTAGGTACTTTTATCTTTCGTCTTCTTGCAACTTCCTTTTCACTTTGTCATCTGGCAAAGTAAGGCCTTCAGACTCAACAATCTCTCCCCTTTTGATAACAAGTGACGCACACTTGGTTAATCTTAGCCTTATTTGATGCAGACTCATACCCAGGAGATGCTTTTCTGAAGATGCTTGTAAGTGGGATCATTGATATGACAAACGGTAAAGGTGATTATACATCCCCTTGAAATATCTCCTTATTCTTACTTCTAATAAATCATCTTTGCACATCATTTCAACTCTCCATGATTCCACTGTCTCTTTTAACAGATTTCGAACATTTTGACTTACTTTCAGGGCTTCCAGACATTCCATTAACCAAGTGTGTGGGATCATGCCGTACGCCTTATGAATAATCCGCCCATGCCATTGACAAGTTTTTCCTTTGACTTTTCGTTTCTTAGAGTCATTTTATCTATATATAGATCTCCTGTTCCTTTTGACTTGCTCTGGCATCCTTTTTGCTCTTTGGACAGTAGTTCTTGTTCTTCCAGGTATCTGTATATTTCGTCGGAGAATATACTTATTAGCAGCTTCCAAGCAAGAGGCAGATATATTGTAGGACGGAAATTGCTTGCAAGTGTACCTTAGCACTGTTCTTCCCTTTGTCTTCCACTGTGGGGTTTTGCCTTCTTCTGAGAGTTGACGCAAGCCGAGAGTGTTCGCTTTTGAATTTCTTCTTCCTAAATTCTTGGACACCATCTGGCCCAGGAGCGGTATTGACGAAAGGTCTTAGACTCCGAAATTTGTCTTAGACAAAATGAGTCTATGATTTCGCACGTTACCATATCTCAAAGTTAATGCTGGTAATAGAACACACATTTAATGTAATAAACTATTTTGATAATCTATGGTAATAAGACGATAAGATAAATATAAAAATAAATCTTGCTTATACCATAATGAAAATATTCTCTCGCTCGCTAAGTGCCGTATCCTCGAACACATTAGCAACCATAGTCCATAAAATACGGTCCGTTGAGGCATGAAGCACCTTAAGGCAGTCCAACCTCATCCACTGTGAGAGGCTCTTCGTAATAGTAAGCCGCTGTCTTCCACGATCTCTTCTTCCCTCAATCTCCCCGGTTACTGACTTCCTTTCCGCATGATGTGGCCAAGAAACTCTAACATTAAGTATATCTAAATGAGATATGGCATCCCTACGCTCAATTTACGTTTGATTATCTATCAAAAGAGGCCTCGATGTTTTTCTTATTATTTCCAAAGCGGAATAATCTTCAATAGAGGAAAATTTGCATAAGGACAAATTAATGAGTCCTTGCGAACATCTAAGACCTTCTACGATTTCTTTAACTTCATAATATTCGTTTATCCATTCTGCATCTTTCCTGTGCTTTCCTTCTCTGCTCCAGATATTGAATCGGAATGTTTTTGCTTCATCATTATTATTATTATCATCGTTATCGTCATCATCGTTATCAAGTATTATAATTATCATTATTGATATTATCAATATCGTTGCTGTTAGAATTATTATTATTATTATTGTTATTATTATTACTATCATTATTATTATTATCATCATCATCATTATTATCATTACACCTAATACTTTTATTAACATTGTTACTATTACTATTATCACGTGTCATCGTAGGGAGCGTCCTGAGTATCTATTGCGTGAGACTCTCCAAGAAAATGCACAAGGGAATGGCTCTTCAGTTCTACCTGTTGTTCATAACGTTCTTCATCATCTGCCTGATTATTCTCCCGACCTCTGTGGTGGACGAATACTACACGTTGATTGGCTGGCAAG